CCGTTCCTGTTGTTGATCCTGCTAGCCTTCCTTCAGTTGTCGTCTCTTTGAGGGTCTTCGTTGTTGTTTTTAAAGATGATTTAAGTTTTTTTTATTTATTTTTGAACAGTTAATATTGGGTGTTTTTTTTTAATATATGTTTTTTGTCACTGATAGTTTAAATATATATGTATATATATACTTTTTTTTCACTTTTTCGATGTGTGGCCTGATTTTAATTAATCACTTTTTTTTTTCTTTCGTTGTTTCAAGGCCACGAATACGCCTCAAAATCAAATTGTTCGATGACAATTTATTATATTTTTTTTTTTATTTTAACTTGTCGATTTCTCGACCACAATTTCACAAAAAAAATTTTATTATTTTTTTATTATTTTTGAAAATTGCTTTAAACAATAAGGACTCTTATTTGTCCTTTTGCTTTTAAATTTATACTCTGTTATAATTAATCAATTAAGGTGCTGGCTTTCCACTAAGTCTCTTACCACTGGTGGGGGAAAACTGTAGAGTTGCTCGTAGGACCAACATGTTAAGGATAGTAAATAAATACAACCTTTTTGTTTGAGTTCTGTATTGAAACTGTTTCATTTTATTTAAAACTTCTTGACAAGAAACTTATGTGAAAATCTTATTCTAATCTTAGCTATGGTCTACGCAGAGACCTAATCTTTTAGTCTGGGCGGGGGAGTTATTTATTTTGCCCCCCGCACACCGAGAGTTCGGTATTAGATAACTCAAGTGGCCTGCTGTTACAGATTACAAGTGCATTTGAAAAACTGAACCCTTGGCGGGTCCCAGATCGTAAATTGTGGCTCTTATTACACATTTCTACATGACATGTGCAGAGCTCATTAAATCTTAGACATAATATTTATCAGTGTTCGTCTGAACAGGTGTGTTTTCTTCAACAATTCTGTCCTCAGGGTTCTCTAAAAGTGGATGCTTACATACCGGTTCTTCGTCTGCGAATAATAGAGCTATGTGCTGAATGTCCCTCTTGAAGAATCCTTTTGCTGTTTTGACTTCCACTACTCTGACGAAATTGTCTTTTCCGTGGAATACCAATTCTTCCCATTGGCCATTGCAGTACTGGTGTGCTATCTTCTTTTATTAACACCAGCTCTCCTTCCTTAATGTTTGCTGATGATCGTCTCCACTTTGGTTTTGCTGTAGTTGTTGTAGATAATCAGTTGACCATTGCTTCCAAAGGCGTGCTTAAGTTTTGATACAGCTTGCCATCGTTGTTCCAATGTCTGTGAAGGTTCGCTGTCAGCTTGGGCGGTGAGTGGTTCTCCAATAAGAAAATGACCTGGAGTAATTGCTGTCAAATCATTTGGATCAGTTGACATGGGAACCAAAGGTTGAGAGTTTAAAATTGCTTCAATCTCGACTAAAACAGTTTCTAACTCCTCATAAGTTAGATTAGCTGTGATGACATTTTTTAACAGCAAATGCTTAGCTGATTTTACAGCAGCTTCCCACAATCCTCCAAAATGCGGTGCTCTTGGTGGAATAAACTTAAAATTGACTCCTTTATCAATACAGCTTTCCACAATGCATTGTTTTGCCTTTTCGGAAAATATTGCATCTTCCAGCTCTTGAAGCTTATTTCTTGCTCCAACAAAATTAGTCGCATTGTCGCAATGCAAAGTTTGACATTTTCCTCGTCGACTTATAAAACGACGAAGCGCTGCCAAAAATGCCTCTGAAGTAAGATCACTTACTAATTCTAGATGGACTGCTTTAGTCGCAAAGCAGCAAAATATTGCAATATATGCAGTGTGTGGTTTCTTACCACGAATTTTATAATGAATCTTAAATGGTCCACAATAATCAATGCCAGAGTTTAAAAATGGTCGTGCTAGCGTTACTCTTAATGGTGGTAAATTTCCCATTATTTGCTCCAATAATTTTGGCTTGGCTCTCGTACACTTTACGCAGTTGAGAACAACACTTCGGGCGATTGTTTTTGCTCTTATAGCCCAATATCTCTGGCGTGAAATAGCCACCAGAGCCTGGACACCAAAATGCATATTGTCCTTATGCATTTTTTCAAAAATTAATTTTACGATTTGGTCGCCATATGAAAGTAATATTGGGTGCTTGGCATCAAATGACAATCCAGCTGCTTCCAATCTACCTCCAGCTCTGATGAGATCATCTTGGTCTAAAAATGGTGTGAGCGTGCTTAAACTGCTGCCTTTTTCAACTTCACGACAGTTCTTCAAGCTCCTATATTCCGTACCGAAATGCCTTTCCTGGATAATAGGTAGTATTACTTTTCCGGCTCGTTCCATCTCTTCTAACTGGATTGTTGCACCTTTGACTCGTGGCCTTTTTTTTCACACGCATAACATTTGCTATTATCCCAAGCAGTTTAGAACTTGAGTTCCTATGGCTTATGCGATAAAATAACACATCATCTTTCACTGTTACTATTGATGAATTTGGGGTCTATATGATACGCTCTGATTTTGCAGCAATGAATGGTGCTGGCCACTTTGTAGATGGCCCATATAAAAATAGTGGGCCAAAAAACCAAAGGCTGTGACTGGCAAATTTGGAACCACATATTCCTCTTGAAGCTACATCCGCGGCATTCTGTTCTGATGGAATATGGTGCCATTCCTTTTGAAGAGACGTTTCTTGAATTGTCGTAATCCTAGAAGCCACAAATTTATCCTTTATTGTAGTGGGGCTATTTATCCATGATAGCACTATTTCCGAATCTGACCAGTAGTATGTAGGAATTGCTTGCATTGATAACTGTTCCTTTACATTGTATGTTAGTTGTGCACCTAGCACTGCTGCTTTCAATTCCAGTCGGGGAAGCGTAATTGTATTTATTGGAGCCAAACGCGTTTTTGCGCACAGCAATTGTACAGTCACCCTTTTGTCTTTGTGAACTGCTCGAATATAAACGGCTGCTGCATATTCATTTTCTGAAGCATCAACAATGGTGTGGATCTCCTTTGAAATCGTTTTTTTTCTTCAAAGACATGACGTGTAATTTTAATGTCATTAACGCCTCTAAACTGTCACGGAATTGGATCCATTGCCTTTGTAGATGATCAGGCAATTCCTCGTTGTAATCAAATTTCTCCTTTGTAAGACTCTGCATGAATATCTTTGCTTTAACGACGACTGGAGAGAATAATCCAAGAGGATCAAATATTTTGAATATTTCTGAGACAACGCCTCTTCTTGTTATTTTGGTTGTTGTAGCAATTTGTGTTTTGCCACAAAGTTTGTCTATCTTGGGATTCCAGAGGATTCCAAGAGTTTTGATGCTGCAATCTTCATATGTAGTATCTTCCAATTGCACATTGGTAATTATGTCATCTTTATTTAACCCCTGTAGAAGTTGGTTGCTGTTTGCGCACCATTTTCTCAATTTAAATCCTGAGATTTACTCGGATGAGTAAAGCTTCCTGGATTGTATCTGCTCCAATAATGCAGTCATCCACATACAAATTATTTTTAAGAGCAGACGATCCCAGGTGATACTGCTTCAACTGCTTTGTTGCCAAGTATTCTAAACATCTTGTGGCTAAACAAGCTGCTGATTTAATGCCATACGTGACCTTCTTCAGTCGATAAAATCTCAATTTCTCTGAAGGGTCGTTTCTCCATACAATCATCTGATATTGCTTGTCATTTGGGTTTATCCAAATCTGCCTATACATTTTCTCAATATCAGCGGTAAACACATATTTGTGTAATCTAAACCGTAATAAAATATACATCAATGTATTTTGTACTGTTGGGCCTTTGTGCAATAAATCATTCAATGAATTGACGTCGGGGTCACCATATATACGAATTCAAATGAATTCAGAATGCTGAAATATATTTTTTGCGTGCCGCAAGTACAATACCAGTGGCAATAGTCGCCGCAATAAGTACAATACCAATTGGGCTGCGGAGAAGTGAATACGTCAAGAGATCTTTTCGTACTGATTTTATTGAGCATAACTTGGGGTTTATATACATGTTCTTGAGTCAAATGGGGTGTTTACATAGGTCTATTTTAGATTACAATTGTCAGTTACATGGCTTATCCTAATCAAACTATACAATTTAGATAACGATATCGTAGGTAAAATAGTCTCAAATATTCTGCATGCAGATGGTCTGAAAACGTGACCGATCGTGGGTTATCTTTTATGATGGGTCAGAATTGACACACATGTGCACGCAGGCATACGTGGTCCTGTTTTGATTTAGGTAGGCCGATATCACAAATGACCCTTGTCTATTTAACCCATAAATATCAATCCAGCTGCGAACAATTTTCTTTTTGGCGAAAATCGTACATTCTCCCGGCCGTCATTAATGTTGATGGTAAACGGCTGAGTTGTAAATGTGGTCGCACTCGTAGGTATACTAGGTCCTTGTTGAAGTGGTAGAGGAGACGTAGATTTACGCCATCTTTTGAATAGATGAATAAGGGTGATGATCATTACAAAAATCGATTTGATGATGCTCAATATTAGATAAATTGTGTGGTAGCTTAAAGTTTTTTTGTGGAAACAGTTCCATTTTTCTTTGAAGAAGCTCATTGAAATGTAGTTTCTGAGTGTCAATTACAACCGTCATATTTGAATTTGACGGCAAACTTTCAGTTAAATCGCTATCTCCAAATCGAGCATATGAAGCCTGTAGTGTAGTTTCTGTTGACTCTTGAGTCGTTATCGTCATCAATGTATTTCGAATTGTGCACCCAGGACTTGCAGTCAAATAGCCGGAGCCTTGTAGTTCTATGTTAGATGTCCCATCGAAGCAAACAGCAGAAAGCTTTAAAGATTCGTTTGATGCAAATATCCATTGATTCTTGGCATACATTCCAGACCAAAGAAAGGATTTTCTAGTACTTACTATTTTACAGGAGGAATCCGTTTTATAATGAAATAATTTCATCTCACAACTAATTTCTGATGAAAACATTGTTTGCTTGTTGAAACAAACAAAATCGCTTTTAGCTCTTTCTTGACATAACGTTAAGTCTGCTTCTGACATTTCAACAAATTCATCACGATGACTGTTGATTACAAGAAACGGTGATTTTATTTCAATCGAATGAATTTCATCTTTACCCAGAAATGGAATTGGAGTCAATTTGTAGATGTCCAGAACTTGCGAGGATATTAAAGGAAAATTTACTTTAATAATGACATGATCCTTCACAATAGTTCCTTCACCCTTCATTAGCTGGTATGCCATAAGAATGTTATCTGGGTGAACTGGGAGCATTTGTCCAGGTCTCAAGTGACTATGTATTTGTTCCATTTGCTCCTTTAGTTGTCGTGGTGATATTAGCATTGGGCTAATTGTATTATGACGAATATTTGTTAATACATTTATTATTTCTGCTTGTACCCGTTGAAGATTTGATGCCAGAATAGAAAGTTGAGTTGACAGTGTTATAAACCATGAAAGTTTTTAAAATACACTCTTGGTACTTTCTGTGTCGGAGATATAGTTTTCAATCAATTTTAATCGATTTGAGTTGGAAATCTCATCTCTTTTTATGACATTAATTGTTGAATCAATCAATGATGTCTAATTTTTTAATAAATTCAATCGTTGCCTTTAACCTTTGTTATTGTCTTGGCCATTTCGTTAGCATATGTTGAGTCTAATACGCCAAACAGACTACTTGCTATATTTCCAACGATATCCAGTGGTGCTCTTTGTCTACGTGATTTTGCTAGTAGGATATTTTCAGCCTGCAGATCTTCCTCCAAATTTTTGATGTGATGATACAGACTTGTACATGCTTCTTGTTGTGGAAATTGTGTACATAAATGACCAATTTTGCTAACTCCCATTGAAAATGGGTTTATGTCATTCAATACGGCCTTAAATTGTAATAAACAATTATAGACCAATCCGTTGTGGCAAATTGACCATTTCCAACCTTTTCAAAAAAGATTCCTGGCCTTGAAACAAATTTTGTTACATTGATTTATTGTGCAATAGTTAATGGTAACAAAAGAAGCATTACTATCAATGTCATTGCCATTGACGACAGACCTGAAGATTTTTTCCTTTTTGGTGTTGTTAAGAATAGTAAATAAATACGAAGTTTTTGTTTGAGTTCTGTATTGAAACTGTTTCATTTTATTTAAAACTTCTTGACAAGAAACTTATGTGAAAATCTTATTCTAATCTTAGCTATGGTCTACGCAGAGACCTAATATTTTAGTCTGGGCGGGGAGTTATTTATTTTGCCCCCCGCACAAGAACTCTCGGTATTAGATAGCTCAAGTGGCCTGCTGTTACAGATTACAAGTGCATTTGAAAAACTGAACCCTTGTCGGGTCCCAGATCGTAAATTATGGCTCTTGATGGAATTACACAGTTCTACATGACATGTGCAGAGCTCATTAAATCTTAGACATAATATTTATCAGTGTTCGTCTGAACATTCTGGCAAGGGCCGGCAAACTGTGGTGTATGTGTTGTAATTACATAATTGCTTCAATTGCAATATAAAATTAGTGGACTGTATTTATTCGATATATTTTATTTTGCATTATAAATTTAACACCTTGCACGGCTTGAAATGACTTATGTTTAGGATTACAAAATTTTTAATTTATTTATTTTTAATCAAAACATTCTTTAACATAATTTATTTATAACATAAATTGATTAAATATTAATTATACCGTTTGGTATGGCAATGGCTTGTAATTGCCTTCGTACATTTATTTTTCTTATAAAATATACAGTTAATACAAGTATTATAATAATTGCCAAAATTAAAGAAGCATGTCCAGTTACATGATGGAAGTCTAATTCTTTTAATTCTAACTTGTGAGTCTTTAAATATTGTATTTCTTGTGTTAATCGATTGATTTTATCAGTATGATTTATTAAGGGCAAATCGAGCTGGTTCCAAACTATCTTCGGTACATCATTAACCTCTCCAATATAAGACACAGAAAATGTTCCCTGATCTTCTAGCTGAATACTGTGTTGGGCAACTAATATTTTGTCATCAGTTCGAGCAGTACAATCTGACCTTAGCGTTAATATTCCTTGCTCAGGTAAATCCACTATTTCTATTTTCGAGTTGCTGCACTGAATTCTAGCCTTAGAATGGTTCTGAACCTTAAAAAGCCAACTGCTCTTCCTTTCTAACTCGACCCAATATGATTTACTCTCAATCACTGATTTATATTTGCAATCTGATTGCTTATTTGGTTTGAGAGGCTTAAGCTCACAACTATTATCGTTAGCACTACTCCAAGGCCAACTTCCTTCACAAACCCTTTTATTAATCTAATCTTTGACACTTATTAATGGTTGGTTCTGAAATGAGGTGAGAAGCATCTATTTCAAAATTGTAAACTAAGTACTGAGAATCGACATGTACTGTAATCATACGTTCATCTAGCCTAACTGGTACTGGGATAATTTTATAAAGCACCGAAGCATGTCTTCCAAACAAAGGTATTTTTGCATTGATAATTAACTTTTTATCTAAAAATAACCCCCTAGCCGTGGGTAAAGTATAAACCTCTTTTAATTCTGTACCTGTTCTTTTTCCTGGCAGAATTAAATTCTCTGACGAACTGTCTTTTATTTGGGAAATCTCACTTTTCAACTGACTAGGTTTCAATATATTGGTATTAAGTCGACCATGATTGATGTCAATTAACAGGCTTATGACTCCGGATTGAATCTTTTCGCATTCATCTATAATGTTACCTAATTGTTTTGTTATCATGAAGAAGTTGATGGACTCCTTGTACACATAATAAGATTTCTGCAATACCCGGCGGTATCAAGTTCTCAATTCTTTTATTCATTCCTTTAAAGTTTAAATTAACTTATTCAGTAGTCCTTTTCAAAATATTAGTCATAGAATCAACTAAGGAAGTTTGTTTCCTACTTAACTCATTAAGATTATGTTGATTGCTTAATAAGTTATTCATTTTGTCCTCCATTTGTATCCTGTCGTCTCTCTTTTAATTTTCTGGATTAGTTTCCACCTGTCTAAATTCCCAATTCTCTCATTTTCAATTGGTTCAACTTTTTCTAGCGGTGGTCTACCAATCAAGAAATGTCCTGGTGTTAGGACTTCATTTTGATCAATTTCATTTTCATGGGTATACAATAGTCTTAAATTTAAGCATGCTTCTTTCTGACATAAAAGTGTTGACATTTCTTCGTATGTCAGTCTATTTTCCCCGATTACCCGTTTCAGATGGTATTTAATGGTTTTAACTCCAACTTCCCAAATACCTCCGAAGTGAGGTCCTGCCGGGGGGATAAAATGCCAATCAATTCTATCTTTTTCGAGCTGCGCGGCAATCATTGTATTTTCCTTGATTGCTTTAACTAAATCTTGATCTAATTTTCTTGAGGCTCCTACGAAATTAGTTCCGTTATCCGAATAAATATTAGCACATTTACCTCTTCTAGCAATAAATCTTCTAAGTGCTGCTAGAAATGCTTCCGAGGTTAAGTCACTTACCATTTCTAGATGTATGGCTTTGGTGGCCATACAAACAAATACGGCAATGTATCCCTTGTACGTCTTTAGTCCACGATTCTTGGAATATTTAACGAAATAAGGACCTGCGTAATCTATTCCAGTATTAAAAAATGGGTACGACATCATAACTCTGTATCTAGGCAGGTTGCCCATTATTTGTTGAGCTGTATTTTGTTTGTATCTCGCACACTTGACACATTCTTTTAAATACTTTTTTAATGAATTTTTTAACCCAAAATCCAATACTTTCTTTGGATATAATTTCGCATTAGGTTTATTCCTCCATGCAAAGTTTCATTATGAGCATTTTTTATCAACAAGTTAGTTAAATGGCATTTGTCCAAGATTATTGGGTGCTTAACTTTAAATTCTGCACCGGAGTTTTCTAGTCTTCCTCCCACTCGCAGAATACCATCATTATCTAAAAACGGATTTAACGACAATATCCTATTATTTGTCTTAATTTCCTTATTTGTTTTTAAGCATTTTATTTCTTGGCTGAATTGATATTCTTGTTGCTTTCTTATAACAATCTTTTCAGCTAGTTTTAACTCTTTTACAGATAGGAAGGAAGGATAGGATTCCTTTTTTATCTTGATTTGAATGAATCTATTTATGTATACTATTACTCGCATAATCTTTTCAATACTGGAAAACCTCTCCAGTAAATTATAAATAGGATTATCGGTTTTATTGTTTAAAATTGAATTTATCAAGACAATTTCTCCTGTGGATTCCTGGTGAGGCCATTGCTCCTGTGGCTCAGATAACCACTTCGGACCTTTCCACCAAAGATCACAGTTAACCAATTGGCTAGAACTAATTCCCCTTGATGCTAAGTCTGCAGGATTTTCTTCAGACTTCTCATGATTCCATTTGGTATTCTTTAGTTTACGAATGTCACCTGTTCTTCGTCTAATAAACTTGACTTTGCTATCTCCATTGTTTATCCATGCTAAAGTGATAGTGGAATCACTCCAAGCGTAGATTTCCACTGTATTATCAATGGATTCATTAATTCTTTTGATCAATCCACTAAGTAAATGAGCTGCACATAACTCTAGTTTGGGAATAGTTTTTCTATTTTTAATTGGATTGACGCTACTTTTGCTGGCTATTATATTCACAGAATTTCCTACCTTAGCATATACTACGGCTGCATATGCCTTTTCGGAAGCGTCCGCAAATCCATGAAGTTGTATCCCCAAACAATTCTTGGAACTAATCCATCTTGGGATTCGAATCTTTTCTAAAGATAATAAACTTTCTTTATAATTTTCCCAATAATCTTTGTCTTCCTTGGATAACTCCTGATCCCACTCACTTTTATTTATCCATAATTTTTGAATAAAAAGCTTTCCTAAAACAGTGACAGGAGCCAGCCATCCTAGGGGATCATAAATTTTTGATAATGTCGATAACACTACCCTTTTGTTAGTTTTTTTGGATTCCCCGCAATTTACTTTAAATTTAAATAAATCTTTTTGGGGTTCCCATTGAAGCCCAAGAGTTTTAACGCTTTCATTTTCCGTAATAGCAAGCACTTTGTTATCTCCTGTGTTCTCAACAGTTTGAGTTACTTTAAAATTGTTGGAAACCTATTTCCTTAAGTTAAACCCTACCTTTTGTAGTTCCTTGGAGATTAGTTTAATTAAATTGTTGGCATCTTCCACAGAATCAGCCCCAGCCATTAGGTCATCCATATAGCAATCATTCCTAATTATTTCACTCAAATATTTATTTTTACATTTATCAGCAATATCTACCAGAACTCTGGTAGCTAAATATGGTGCGGATGTAGTACCATATGTGACTGTTGTCAATTTATAATTTTTTATTTTTTCATCTGGAGAGTTTCTCCATAAAATGTACTGGTATTGCTGATCCTCATCATCAATCTTTATTTGACGATACATTTTTTCAACATCCGCGGATACCACATATTCCCATTTTCTCCATTTAACGATAATGTCAAAAATATCCTTTTGAACTCGTGGACCAACCCACATTATATCGTTCAAACTTTTGTTATTAGTAGTTTTTGCTGAAGCGTCAAAAACTACTCTTAATTTGGTCGTCAAGCTCGAATCTCTGATCACGGCTTGGTGCGGTAAGAAATACTTGCCTTCATTCTGCACTTCGACCATATGTCCTAAATTCATATATTCTTTAATAAAATTAGTGTAGTCTGCCCTTAGTTTCTCGTTTCTTTTTAATTTTTTCTCCAGATTCATAAAACGAGCGATCGCTTGTTTCTTTGAATCCCCTAAGGTGACATCATCTTTAAATGGAATTGACACAATGTAACGCCCATCTGAATCTATCTTTATAGTTTTTGTGAAACTATTTTCACATATTTCAGATTCGATATCATTTTTATTTTCATCCTCTACTTCCCAATACCGATCCATATCTTTTAATTCTATGGTGGTTGCTACAATTGTCTTCTGTCCCTTTGATTTTTTACATCCAGAGATAATCCACCCGAAATCGGTTTTTTGGCCGAGGAGGCCATTTATTTTGACCACTCCACTCTGTAGAATGTCAGTATATAGATCTGCTCCAATAATTAGATCTACACGCCCCGGCTTATTAAAGTCGGGGTTGGCCATATTATATTTTTCCCATTTTGTTTTGTCAACATTAACTTTGTGGGCTGGGAGAGCCCTCATAAGTTTTGGGAGTACTAATGCTTCAACTTTTAAAATTTTTTGGGAAGCATTACATTTAATTGAAAGATGAATTTTGTGCTTCGAGATGCACTTTCCTGTGGAGAATACTCCACTGATCTCTGTTTGAGATCGAATTTTTTGTAATTTTAGAATCTGCACAGATTCTTCAGAAATTATGGTGCTTTGAGAACCACTGTCAATCAAAGCTCTGAAATTTTCAAACCCTCCATTCGAGGATTTTATTTGAACGCGTGCTGTAGCAAGCAACGCCTGTTCGGATGTCCTGCAAGTGTTAACCTTTTCTAATTTTTGGTTAACGTTATAATTTATATGTAGCATGCTGTGGTGATTTTTCTTGCAAATAGAACATGAAATGTCGCTTTGAAATTTTTTATTAAATGAGTGTTTCAGACATTTGAAACACAAATGAGCATTTTTTACTTTTTCCATCCTTTCTGATGGATTTAAAACCTTAAATATCTGACACTGGAATATAAAATGTCCCGAAATTTTACATATGGGACAATTATTAGTAGCTAATTCTCTTATATTGCTACTATATATTTTTTTTTACAGGCTTTTCATCCTGAACTGAGCTTATCGAACTTAGCCGTTGCTCTAAAAATTCAATGACGTCCGATAACGCTTGAATCTCTTTAGTTTTTTTTAACATGGCTCTCATATATTTGAAGAGCTTCTTTGTTAAACTTCCTAATTATTATATGTGCAAACATAATATCCACTTCATCAGAAAGTTGTGCCTTCAATTTTATCATATGTATTGACTCGTTAATCGTGTCAATAAATATTTTTAGTTGCCTAACTGAATCAACATTTACGATTTGAGGATGCAGAAAGCGGTTTAATTGATCGGAAAAATGTTCCTTTTATTTTCGTACCGCTTGGTTAATAACTCCCAAGCGGCCTCATAATTCTCCCCAGATCCCAACAATAAGTGAGAAACCACATTTCTGGCTTCTCCCTTAAGTGAGATCTTAAGGTAACTGAACTTAAAAGAAGGACTTAGATCCTCTCTTAAATGAATGAGTTCATTAAACAACTCATAAAACAGGTCCCAGTCTTTGGAATCTCCATAGA